CTTCCAAGAAGTCCCTTAGGCAACTCAAACTCAGGCATGTGAAAAATAGAACTCATCTTCTCTGCTAAATCTGCTCCTCCTTACAACTTCCCTGTTTCTATTCTATGGTCTCTTTTCCTCAGGCTCATAACCTCACAGTCTTCTTTGACTCCTTCCTCTCCCCACATCCCATAGTCAAAATCAGTTGCAAAGTCTTGATTGTGCTTCCTCAACATTTCTCATCCCTTTCACCTTTTCTACACCTAGATTTCCACTCCCCTATTTCAAGCCCTCCTCACTCCCTTGTACCACTGTAATAGCTTCCTAACTGGTCTCTCTGCTTCTTGTCTCTTTCCCTCCCCTCCAATCCAACTTCCTGCTGCGTAGGAACCCAAGCCGATTACAAAAGGAGCTTCATAAGGGACAAATGGGGTCATGTCATTCCCCTATTCAGAAATCTTCCATGGCTCCTGTGTTTCTAAGATAAAAAACAAATTCTTTAGCCTAACATTTAAGGCCCTAAGCAAGGCCCCACCTCCCTTTATAACTCTTTTTTCATGTCACTCCCTCACAAACTCCCAGCTGTTCCCCAGACTCAAAATTGCCTTCCCAGTTTTGGTGCATTTTAGGGATGGGAGATGGCTTGTGTCAGTCCAGGGAGATGCAAAATAAAGGGCCAGATTCAGGGAGCAAGTCATTTGGCTAGAACATATCCCTGATTCCTCACACATCATAGTTATTACTTAATTGAAGTTTGACTCCAGGTCTTCCCACCCCTTCTAATGCATCCTGTGTAACACTGCCAAACTTTCCTAAAATATTACTTTTATCATGTCACTCTCCTGTTCCCAAGCCTTCAATGACTCCCCCCATTATCTGAGAATGGTGTCCAGATGGCTTAATCTGGCCTTGAAGGTCTTCAATTACTTGGTCCTATTCTTTATTACATGTAAAATAAAAACTGTGAACAAGCAAAATGCCCCAAGATTGGCTCAGTCTGGCTAAATAGAATGTAGTATATCCATGTATATCATAATAATGCATGATAAAAATGAAGAATCTAAAGAAATATGGAAAGACCTATGTGAAATAATGCAAAACTTAAAAAAAGTCCAACTAGAATTTTAATATCCATATGGACCACAGCTGTGTAAAAGAAAAATATGTATTTTATCCATATGTGAATATATAAATTATAAACATCAGAAGAACATGATTTAGTATGAATTATTGTTGACATTGATAATTGTATGTTTAAGTATATTTTGTTTTGAATAATTTTTATTTTAGTGATCTTTAATAATTTTTCATAATAATAAAAGTAATGTTGATAATGATGACTCCTAAGAGTTGCAGTGAGCCTGGATGTAGATACTTGTGAAATTCAAATAAATTCAGATGAAATAAATTCGATTTAGTTGAGTTTCACAAACATTTATTAAGCACTGTGTGCTGAGTACTATACTGTTATTGAGTGGGGAAAATTCAAAGATTAGTTGTGACATGGTCTCTACCCTCATAGAGTTAACAATCTAAGAGCCCTATAATTCTTTCTCCTTTCTAGCTTCCATCATTTACATAAAAATATCAAGGGCAGAAAATGTGAAGTTATTTTAGCAGTTGCATTCAGAATACATTATATTTTTTCCTCCTTCAGAATATTTACCTTTCTAATTATGCCTTGTTTGTATTAATGTCAGAATTAATTTCCATTCTTTGATCATAAAGGCAGACTAGACAAATGTTGGAAGACAGGTAAGATAACTTAGGATTTAAAACTTTTTGCATTTAAGCAATACAATAACAATTGAAAATTGCTGAATTTGTATGTATCATCCAGGGCCCCCTTATATGTGGGACCCCTTGATCATAGGATCAGAGATTTAGAATAGAACTTAGAGGTCATCTAGTTCAAACCTGCCATTTCTTCTTTCTTTTAAAATTTTCATTTTATTATCACAAACTTCATAAACATCCACACATATTTAACTGCAAAAGAATTGAACACAATATGAAACTATTAATTGGGGTTTTTTTTTGTTGTATACTTAGTGATAGATCCTGTACTGCCCTACTCATCTGTATCTCTTTTTGAATTTCTTTCTGCTGTCTTCTATATTTTTAAATGATTCATTGATACTTTTATTTATTCTCCTCCTTGAAAAAAAAAGTTTTATTACTACTCCCCCCCAAACTCCACCAATTCTATCCCTGTCCCCCATCCCCACCAAAAAGAATGTCCTCTCTTCCACATCTTGACTGTGTCTGAAAATACAGTTTTCATTCTGCTCCTGTACATCACCTCTCTACCAAAATTAATCTCAGGAACCTGAGGTTCAGAGGTCTGAAGAATGATGTGAGTGTGGTCCAGCATTCATTCAAAGCCATAGTTCGAGGACCCCTTGGGGCAGCTAGGTGGCACAGCGAATAGAGGGATGGCCCTGGAGTCAGGAGGACCTGAGTTCAAAATTGGTCTTAGACACATAAGGCTCACTAGCTGTGTGACTCTGGGTAAGTGACTTAACCCCAGTTGCCTCGCCAAAAAACAAAACAAAACAAAAAAACCCTGCCAATAGATTTCTTTTACCAGTCAATCAGAAGACACTAGATCAAAACAGAAGACATTTAATTTAAAAAACACAGAACCATAAGTCCACAAGAGTTTATTAAGATTTTAGTAAGTGCCAAGATCTGTGATTAGCACTGGGAATACAATGAAAGGCAAAAAAAAAAAGTTCCTACCCTCAAGGAGCTTACAATCTAATAGAGGAAGAATAATCAGTGAAAAATCAGAGTTGGAGATGGAATCTTTTTCAAGGAACAGCATGGAGCCCAATGTCAGTAGACAGTAGTGTAGATGGAGGGGAGTAAGGTATAAGAAAGGCAGGAAGGGACCAGGTTATGAAGGGCTTTAAAAACCAAAGGATTTTATGTTTGATCCTGGATGTAATGAGAAGATACTAGGTTGCTTTTTTTTAAAGTAAGTTTTTATTGATGTCTTATATTTTTTGTATCATCTTGTATCTTCCTGTATCCCTCCTCTTTCCCCTACCAGATAGTCATCGCATATGTGATGAGGCCATCCCACACATGTAGCATGGAGGTGTGGCTTGAAGAGAGGCAGAATAGCCATCTCTAACCTCTCTTCCCCACCACCCCCTTCTCCAAGGGAGACTTTAATGCCTGCCAGGAAGGGAAGCAAGAGGTTGAGGCCAGAGGCAACCTCTCTACTCTCCTCAAAGACAGATACTGGGTTAGAATTATACCTACATATTATTAGTTTAGAGCAATGAGAGGAGCAAAGGAAGGGATACAGAAGGAAACTATGGTGATATTTTTTTTAAAAGACAAATATAAACCATATTTGAAAACAAAACAAATAGAAATAGGCTACCGAATAAAGATCTTTGCAGGCTACATACTGAAGATTTTGAAATGTAATGTTACCTGTCTGTTTTGTTAAATATTTCCCAATTATATTTTAATCTGGTCCAGCCACATGTTTGACACCTAAACCTAGGAAATGTAGTTTTCAGGTTCAAGCTAAACTCTTGATTACTATTTCTTTTTTTGGTGAGGTAATCGGGGTTAAGTGACTTGCTCAGGGTCACACAGCTAGTAAGTATCAAGTGTCTGAGGCCAGATTTGAATTCAGGTTCTCCTGACTCCGGGGCTGGAGCTCTATCTACTGCACCACCTAGCTGCCCCCTTAATTGCTATTTCTTGATGGGAAAAAGCTTCATATATGCTTTATGTCTAGGCTTGACTTTCTTCCCAGCAAATAACAGGTCCACAATGAACACACATAGCAAAGCAGAAATCTGGGAACCTATATATAGGAGAATATATACCAGACATCACAGAGTGAAGGAACTTTCCCACTGTGATCAAGGTAAGTCAGATGAACTCAGAGAGTCCCAAATTTCCCAAAGAAGAAATTCCCCAAAGTCTGTAGTATAGCAAGCTGGGTATAGGCGCATGATGGAAATTGCCAGCTCCTCTCATGTAGGCATTTTCCTAGAGTCTTTTTCTCCTTTCAGCAACTTGAATTGTAGTTGTCGTTGTCCATCTTTTCTCTCAAAGCTGAAAGCCAGAAGGGCCCAAAGAAACAGAAGAGAATGAATCCCTCTCTTGTCCTCTTATCAGCTCTTTCCCTCCCCCATGAAGATATGAAATTGATCTCTACCAATGCAGAGTGAGTCCCATAACAACGGCCTTTGGAGCTGGGTATACACATATAACAAACACTATTTTTTTTAAGATTTTAAAAAAGAAGAAAGGGTCAGCTAGGTGACGCAGTAGATAGAGCACTGGCCCTGGAGTCAGGAAGACCTGAGTTCAAATCTGGCCTCAGATACTTGACACTAGCTGTCTGACCCTGGGCAAGTCACTTAACCCCAATTGCCTCACCAAATATATATGTATATGTATATACACACATATAAAAAGAGGAAAAAGAAGGGAAAAATCAGCATAACTGATCATACATGGAAAATAATCTAAAGTATATGCAACACACAGACTTCACACCTCTGCAAAGTGTGGGGTATCTTCTCATCTCTTTTTTCCAGCTATACTTGCCTTTTATTATTTTGCAACATTCACTTTTGATTTTTCTGTGTGTGGTCCTTTCTGTTTACATTTTCATAGTCACTTTGTATATTGTTTTCTTGGTTCTTCTTACTGTAGACTACATCAGGTCATGTAGCTCTTTCCATATTTCTCTGTATTTATAGTTGTCATTGCTTACAGCACAGTAATATTCCATTACATTCATGTACCACAATTTGCTTAGCCATTCCCTGATTGAGAGGCATCTACTTTATATGAGGCACTAGTCTATTAAATAGAGGGGCTGGGCAAATGGTCAAATGTCCTTTAGAAAAATCAAATATATCTATCTCCCCAACCCACATACAGGGGAACACACTCATATGTTATCACAATATCATAGAGAAAAAGCACACAAGTAAGGAGTAAGTCTTACCCAGGAATACATATGTGTCCAGAACAACTCATACCTTCAATGTCGCAGGGCCACCAATGTCATCTGGTAAATTCCTTTCTTCAGTAGCCTAGGGTCCTCTGCTATTCCTTCTGTTCCCTCCACTCCAGTGTTCTTGAGGGATGCACTCTGCTGGGCATCTTCACTACTGAAGCTGCTATTCTCTGCTACCATCTGCTGGTTTTCAACTACTGAGAAGCACGGAAGAGGGAGGGGGTCTTCCAGCTCTTAAGCCTGAGAGCACCACGCACTATCTTTAGCTATTTTGTGATGTAACCTCGTTCAGGCAGCTGTACCAAACCAGCTAGCTAGAGAAGCCTTTAGGCATTTTTTTAAAGCATATTTTTTGAACTGATTCTTCTCTATCTTGTGGACTGTCCGTCTCTTTATCTGAATTAGGTTTTAAAAAATTTCTTTTAATTCTCCTCACCCTGTCAGAGTATCATTTCTAGGGGATCCACTTAGCAAAATACAAAGGACCTTTGGAGAAGCTGTATTGAAGAGACTCTTCTCACCCTGCCCCCATTATTCTTCTTGTGTTACATGCAAATCACTGGGGCCCATGCAGAGTGGAAAAGGCCATAAAGGGGTAGTGACCCTTTCCCTGTTTCTCCTCGTCTCTATGCTACCTATATTTCACCCACAAGTAAATCACAGCCTGTATATGGGTATAGTTTGTATATGAATATTATAAACAGTCTTCAGTTTCTATAGAGTACTCATATAGCTAACGCCAAATTCTGAGGACATGTGCAGTTAACATATTATCCTCCTTCTAATTACATGAGCATTTACAAAAAAAAAAAAGAAAAAATATATAGAACAAAAAGAAAACATATGTCATGACAATAAACGAATCTGGTTGCTGAAGCTAAGGCAGGGTGTGTTGGGGCATTCATCTTCTCTCTCTTTTTCCAATATCAGCAGTGTACCCAGGCAGCTAGGTTTAGAGAGCATAGGACCTGGAGTAAGGAAGACCTGACTTCATATCTGACCTTAGACATTTACTAGCTGTAAGACCCAGGGCAAGTCACTTAACTTCTGTTTGCCTCAGTTTCCTCATCTGTAAAGCTGGGACAATAATATCATTTCCTTCCCAGGACCAAATTGCTTTTCTTCTTAGCAATTTGGATGGACTAAGGTCAATCCAGAAAGAGGGAGCCTAGCTCTCTAAAAAAAGTGTCTAGGATTTTTCACTAGAGTCTTAGGTTCTTTACCGACTCCACCTTACAGCCCCAGGGAAAATTACCTAAACCTTAAGTTTGGCTCCCCTTAGGTTCTACCAAAAGGGAAAGGAGTAGAAGGATATTCAGCATATGATAATAATCTGCTATAGGACTGCTATTTATTTCTCCACACAAAAGAAAATTCTAAATAGGCTCACAGAAAGCTCACAAGTGCTCACATGAACAAAGACTCAAAGCAAGAGATAGTCATTTAAGACTACTCTGGGGATAGTCTCTGGGGAGACTGAGACTTAAAACCATCAAAACATAAGGTTTGTTGAGACTGCTAAATAGTTACATTTTACTCAGCCCTACTTTGTCTTATCAAAGTCCTACTCTTCTGTCTTGGAAGCCAGACCAGGAGCTTAGGGCTCCTCCTCCTGTCCCTCCCTGTTCATCTTTTTCCTGAAGGGTATAGGTAGTTAATTACAGAATACTCCTGCCACAACTAGTAGCATCCAGCTGAGGGACCCAGGACTCCCAGACTTCTCTAACTCACATGGCTGCCTCCAAGGCTGAATGCGTCCCTCTCAGCACTGCTATTTAATACCACAGAAACAGAAAGCAAAGGGAAAAGAAAGGTTACCTAAGGGCCTAAGGCCCAGTCTTATAAGATCAGGTCAACCTAAAGCAACAGATGTCCTTTAGCCACCATGTGCTCCCAGCTCACCCTTTCTGGTGGGGTGAGGGAAAAGCAGTCCCTCCATAACCCTTCACTGGTGAAAGAATTACTTGCCATATGTTAAACTGAAGGAAGACAGAGGGAGAGATCCCGGTATTTGCTGCATCATACCAAGCATCCAGTCCTTTCAGTGTCATCACATGTTTTCTCTAGAAGTAGCCAAGTCATAAGCTTAACACTCCATGCAATGATGTGCTATAGCCAGAGATGACTGGGCCAGCTATTTACCTCCTTTACACATACATTTAACAAAATTAACTGTAGATCAAATACATAGGTTTTGTGCAATACATGAAACATAGCACATATCAGGCTATATAACCAAACTATGTAACCATATCAGGCTACAGTAACCAAATACTTAGGTCACATGCAGGAAAATAATATATGCCAGGACAGTGATAGCAAAGATGCATAATATAGAAGTTATATGGCTCAGTGGATGGAATGTTGGGCCTGGAGCCAGAGAGACCTGAGTTCAAATCAAGCCTCAGACACTTATGAGCTGTATGACCCTGGGCAAGTCACTTAAACTCTGACTCAGTTTCCTCAACTGTAAAATGAGCTGGAGAAGGAAATGGCAAATCATTCAAGTATCTTTGCCAAGAAAACCCAAAGTGGGGTTGATGAGGTCTAGAGGTTTAGGGGTGCTGGCACCCTGAGATCACGACACCCGGGTCCTGCCCAAAAGAATTCGACCCAACTCTTCTTTCAGCTAAAGACAAGGTTTATTAAGGATCCACCATATTGGCCAGACCCTTAAGGAATCTGAACATTTGCAAGCTATTGGCTAGGTTCTTAAGGAATCTGAGAAGGTACTAGATTATAAGAATCTGAGCACCTTAATGGAGACAAAATGGACCTTATATACAGAGAGACTGTGGGAGAGATCTACGAGTGGCCAAATAGTCTGCGGGGACTGTGAGGTAATAGAATGCCAGGGACCTGGACCAAGTGGCCAAGGGAGAATGGAGCCCAGGTAGTATTAAGGGTGGGAAGTGGGGGGTCAGGCACCGTAGGTAGGTAAAACAAGGGAGAGCTAGGCTAGGTTAGAGGTAGCAGAGAATTGGGAGGTTGGGCATAGCCACAACAAAAGGCCAGTTGATGGGATTATGGCCTCAGGGGAATGCCTGAGACCTTGATCAAGTGGGAGAATTCAAGGAGAATCCCTTAGACAAATGGGACCCAAACTCTTTTTGGGGTAAAGGGCAAAGGTCTCAGCTTGGGCCTGTACCCCATCAGGATGCCTGAGAGTAGGACACAACTGAACAAAAACACTTCCTCTGTGGGGAGCTAGGTGGCACAGTGGATAGAGCACTGGGCTTGTAATCAAAAAGAGTTCAAATCTAGCCTCAGACATTTACTAACTGTGTGACCCCGGCAAGCCACTTTACCATGCTTGTCTCAATTCCTCATCTGTAAAAGGAGCTGGAAAGGGAAATGGCAAACCACTCCAGTATCTTTGCCAAGAAAACACCAAATGGGGTCATGAAGACTCAGATATGACTGAAACAATTGAACACATGTAACACAGAACAAAATACACATATAGATCATATATAACACATAGCATCATGTTGCAGCTACATACAGTATTTAGGAAAGCGTGTACATATTAAATGCACTCCATCAATATGTTTGTATATGTAACCTCTTCCCCCATCATACTTCTGGAGCTTCACAAGTCATCTGGAGCCCACTGGCCAGAGAGTCCTGGCACTTCTACAGTGATCTGCTGACAGCTATATACCCCAGAATCTTTAGACCTAAGGGATTGCAGTGTTAATCCAGAACTTGTGGATGGTCGGATCACTGGTGCCTCTGCCCAAAGCAACTGGCCTACCCCAGCCCACCACGATCACCTGATTAGCATACTTGTTATTCCTTTCACTGTTACACCTGGCTCACCCCAGACTACTTACCACTCCTTAATCCCATCAAGATCCTTTCGCTGTCCTTTTTGTACATAAGCATCAGTCTCACCCCTATTAAGTTGTGGGTTCACTGGGAAACCTGCCCCCTTCTATTGGGGTTACAATAAACCTTGTCATTTGACTGGAAGGTTTGAGGGTATGAATTCATCCCAGGGGAATGCTGCTCTGTACTTTGACGTTTTGAGGTTCCCAGCAACACACAAAACCCGTGTCTTTCCTATTTTTACATTTCTCCAAGCTCTAAAGGTTCCCTCTGTTCCCTTGGTATATGTGGCTGTCACCCTGACATCAACAGGTATGGAGTGAAGCCCTGGATTATCATTTTGGGTAGCATTTTATAGATGTACCTAGGAATGCCATTCTACTGAGACTTCTACTCATGTCCCCAGCATCTTTAGGAGTGTGCAATAAAAATACTCAGGCCAGTAATCTCTTTGAGGAGGGTATGGGTTTTATACTTCTTGATTCCTGCCAAAGCTAATGCCTGAGCATTTTGCTCTCAAAATTTCTATCTTGATCAGGATGGATCTTAGCAGGAAAACTAGATACTGAGAAACATTTTTTACCACTAATATCTTGGCAACTGTGAAAGGTTTTTGGTTACTGGGCAGGTAAGACTTCTGTATACTAGGTGAAAAGGGTCTGTCATCAACCACCTTAAAGATAGATGAGAAATCCATATAGCATTTTTGTTACTTGGATTCACCAGGAAATGGATTTAACAATTTGACTGACTTTTTTGAAGTGGTCTGTGAACCTGGTCACTCATGCACACAGGTCCTTTTGAAAATTGTCCAAATAACAACTCAGTAATTTGAACACTGATAATCTCTTGATCAAGTACCAAGTTAACTAGTAGCTGTCCCAGAAGAGGGCTCTGCAAACCCATACTCCAGGAGGTGATATCCTGGGCGAAAAGGTTTGGAGAAATAACAAAAAGCACTCCTATATGTTTTGCTTCTTATTTCAGATCAGCTGTATCTATGGAAAACTAAGAGAGTGTCAAGTCAAGAGCAAAATGTTTGACAAGATAGGTCTAAAGTAAAGAGAGGTAGTTATATGAAGGGTTAGGGCAGAAGTGAAACATATTGAGAGGAGAGAAGTGTTGGAGAAAAAATGGTTAAGGGGAGAATCATTTTGTTTTTTCTTTTTTTAACAGGGAAGGACTTGCCTAGTTCTCTAGTCACTTTAGGTGGTCCCCTCCTTTTTTCTTCACTATGTTCCATCTTTCTTAACATGGAAGGCAGATGTAAAGATCTTGGAGCTTCTTTTATCTTAAACTTGTGTCTTCAAAAGAAAAGGATTCTTTTGTTCAACAGTTAAGGAATATTTAAAGTGCAGTAGTAGGTAAGTGGTAGGTAGCTCAGTAGATAGATCTCGGGACCTAGAGTAAGGAAGATGACTTTAAATCTAGTCTCAGTGTCACTTAAACTCTCTCTGCCTCAGTTCCTCAACTGTAGAATGGAGATAATAATAGCACCTACCTCCCAGGGTTTTTTAGTACTTTATAGCTCCGTATAAACATGAGTGATTATTATAATTAGTTGTTCGGTTGTGTCCAACTGTTCATGACCCTATTTGGTGTTTTCTTGACAAAGATATAGGAGTGGTTTGGCATTTCCTTCTCCAGCTCATTTTACAGATGAGGAAACTGAGGCAAACAGGGTTA